ATATATATTTTATTTATTTTACACAGAGAGAAATTGAGAGGGACAGAGAGTTAGAAATGTCGATGAGAGAGAAACATCGACCAGCTGCCTCTTGCACACCCCCCACTGGAGTTGTGCCCGCAACCAAGGTACATGCCCTTGACCAGAATCAAACCCGGGACCTTTCAGTCCGCAGGCCGACGCTCTATCCACTGAGCCAAACCAGTCCCAGCTGTGCATGTATCTTTTTAAGTTTTTTGTCTTCCTTGGATAAATTCCCAAAAGTAGATTTGTTCAATCATATGATAGGTAGTTATATATTTAATTTTTTAGTAACTACTGTTTTCCATAGTGGCTGTACCAATTTATATTCCTACCAACAGTGCACAATTTGGATTGCTTTCTTCACACTTTAAAAATAAACTGGTATGGCTCAATGGTTGACCAGATCTGAAGGCTGAGAGTAGAGGAGGCTGCAGAAGAAAAGTTTGATACTAGCAGAGGTTCATGAGGTTTAAGGAAAGAAGCCATCTGATGTAGAAGCTTCAGCAATTTATCCAGAAATCTAACTAGGATAATTAATGAAGGGTGGTTATATAAACAATATTTTTAATGTAAATGAAGCAGTCTTGTATTGGAAGAAGATGCCATCTAGGATTTTAATAGCTAGAGAGAAGTCCTTGCCTGGCTTTAAAGGACTGTCTTATTAGGGGCTAAGAGTAGCTGGTAACTTTAAGTTGAATCAGTGCTCCTTTACTGCTATGAAAATGCTAGGGACCCTAAGAATTATGTCAAATCTATTCTGCCCATGCTGTATAAAAGGAACAACAAAACCTGCATGACAGCATATTCTTTTTACAATACGTTTTACTGAATTTTTTCAGCCCACTGCTGAAACTTACTGCTTAGATAAAAAGATTCCTTTTAAACTATTGACAATGCACATCACCCAAGATTTCTGATTGAGATGTATGAAGACATTAATGTTTTTGTGCCTCTCAATACAACATACATCCTGTAGCCTGTGGTCAAGGAGTCATTTTGACTTTCAAGTCTTATTTAAGAAATACATTTTAAAAGGCTATAGCTGCCATGGATAGTGATTCCTTGGATGGAACTGGGCAAAGGAAGTTTTAAAACCTTTTGGAAAGAATTCACCATTTTAGATGTCATTAAGAACATTCTAGACTCATGGAAAGAGGTCAAAATATCAATATTAGCAGGAGTTTGAAAAAAGTTGATTACAACCAATATGGATGACATTGATGAGTTCAAGACTTCAGTGGAGGAAGTAACTGTAGATATGGTGGAAATAATAAGAGAGCTAGAATTAGAAGTGGAGACTGAAAGTGTGACTTGATTGCTGCAATGTCGTGAGAAACTGTAATAGATGAGGAGTCATTTCTTATGGATGAACACAGAAAGTGTTTTTTAAAATTATTTAAAACTAGAGGCCCAGTGCATGAAATTCATGCACAGGGGTTGGGGTTATATCCCTCAGCTCAGCCTGCACCCTCTCCAATCTGGGAGCCCCCGAGGGATATTCAACTGCCCATTTAGGCCCAATCCCACTGGGCAGTCGGACATTCCTCTCACAATCCAGGACTGCTGGCTCTCAACTGCTCGCCTGCCTGCCTTCTTGATTGCCCCTATCTGCTTCTGCCTGCCAGCCTGATCACCCCCAACCACTCCCATGCCAGCCTGATTGATGTCTAACTGCTCCCCTGCCAGCCTGTTTGCACCCAACTTCCCTCCTCTTCCGACCTGGTCACGCCTAACTGCCCTCGCCTGCAGGCTTGATTGCCTCCAACTGCACTCCCCTGCTGGCCATCTTGTGTCCACATGGGGGCAGGATCTTTGACCACATGGGGGCAGCCATCTTGTGTGTTGGAGTGATGGCCAATCTGCATATTACTCTTTTATTAAATAGGATAGAGGCCTGGTGCATGGGTGGGGGCCAGCTGGTTTGCCCTGAAGAATGTCCTGGATCAGGGTGGGGGTTTCCTTGGGGCATGGGGTGGACTGAGAGAGGGGAGGGGCCTGTGGTGGTTTGTAGGCCAGCCACGCCCTCTGGTGACCCAAGTAGAGGCCCTGGTATCTGGAATTTATTTACCTTCTACAATTGGAACTTTGTAGCCTGGAGCAGAGCCAAGCCTCCCGCTCACTTCATGGTGGGCAGCCATTTATTTTGGGGTTTGTGTACCTTCTATAATATAATTGAAACTTTGTAGCCTTAAGTGGAGGCCTGGGTGGGCCAGGGTGTGTGGAAAGCTTTGCTTCTTCCATTGCTGGGGGCAACCCTAGACTCCCTCTTTCCAGCTCCATGGCTGCCGCCATTTCTGTATGGATTTGTTTACCTTCTATAATTAAAACTCTGTAGCCTTGAGTGGAGGCCTTGGCTGGCAAGGGCAGGCAAAACCCAAGTCTCCCTCCTGCTCTCTGTGGCTATAACCATCTTGGTTTGTTTTATTTGCATATTCACTCTGATTGGCTGGTGGACACGGCTGGTGGGTGTAGTGGAGTGATAGTTAATTTGCATATTACTCTTTTAATTGGTAGGGTATTGGTTTGAGAGAGAGAGAGAGAGAAAGAGAAAAGAAGAGAAGAGAAGAGAAGAGAGAAAAGAAACATCAATTGGTTGCTTCCCAAACTTTCCCCAACCTGGACCAGATTGAACCTGCAACTCAGGCTTGTGCCCCAACTGGGAATAGAGCCCGCAACCTTTCATTATAATTCTGAGATTGGTTACTTTAGCATAGATCCAGGTTACTTTCATCTTTCTTCTCTTTCATCCTAACCCTAACCACTCTTTAACTTGTCTCAAATAATTGTGACAATTTTGGCATTACATTCTCACCAAGGAACATCCAAAGTCTGCAGGAGGACATTCCTTCTTTGTGTTTTGTATTTAAAATTAACTAAACCTTTCCAGAACTCTTTCTCACATCTTGAATGATCAGAATTCATCCGTCACATGCATATTTGAAGACCCATTGGAGTGTGTGCATATGAAATTATTTTAAATCAACTATCTTTAGACCTTTGCTGCTTTGACCAGTAGCACTAGGTATTCTGGGACCTACTTATTCAGAGTATGCATTTAAACACAATTCTCAAGTCAACAAGATGACTTCTGCAAGTAAATAAGATGGTTTGATTGTACATTAGTATTTGGGAAGTACTGGTTTGGACTAGTCAAGAATCACCCCCTTGGGACTGAGACAAACCTCACTTGTTAGAGTACAGTATCTCAAAATAACAAAAAGATATGATGCTGTACATGGGAGGAAGAAAGATGAATGGAGGTATGGTTAGTCTGCCACTTGAATAGGAAATCTGTTATTGCTTTTCTTTTATTGAGCCATATAAATTATTTATAGCATGCATAACTCATGTTCTATAATCTAAAATTATACTTAAAGGAGAAGAAATATGGATCCTTACTAACCTTCATTTTAGGGTATACTCATTTTATTTGGTTCTATAACAATATTGCGATAAACTTAGCAGTTTAAAACAATATACATTTATTATCTCAGTGATTTTGTGGTTCAGCAGTCTGGGCATGTCTAATGGGGTCCTCTGGAAGGCTGCAGTCAAAGTGTTGGCCAGGGCTTGGGTTTTCAACTCAGGGAGGATCCAAACTGACATGACTATTGGTGTCATTCAGTTCTCTGTGTGCTGTTGGACTATGGGCCTCAGTGAACTCGCTATCAACTCTAAACCTCCCTCAGGTGCTTGAATGTGGTCCTCTCCATTGGCCAGTTCACAGCATGGCAGTTTGTATCTTCAATGCCAGCAACTGAGTGTCCTGGGAAGATGGATATTATAATCTTACATTGTCATATACAGTCCATCATGTTTGTCAGATTCTGTTGGTTAGAAGTCAGTTATTGGTTACATTCATTTTCAAGGAGAGGGAATTCTACAAGAATATGATTATCAAGAGATGGGATTTTGGGGACAACTTAGAGTTGTCTGAACATGAAGGGTGAAATATCTAAATATATAAAAGCCTAAGCAAACATCTGACTGGTAGCTATGATGCACACTGATCACCAGGGGGTAGACACTCAATGCAGGAGCTGCTGAGCTGCAGTGACTTGGCAGCTGCAGTTCTCAGGTGATGCACCCAGACGAGAGAGTAGGGAGTGTCAGGGTTCTTGTGGAAGGGTTCAGCATTCTGGAGAAAGGCTACGCATAGATGTTTAAAGAATCCAAAGACAAAAGATAATTTTGAAAGGCATTGGAGGAATCACAGTTTCTTCAGCTAAAGGAGTTAGAAGACTACTCTTGACTAAGGACCCATGCTTTTATTAACACAATTTGTCCCAAGGCAGGGTGGAGATAATACACTTCAAAGGGTAGGCTATAAAAGCATTGTCAAGTTTGGGGAATAGCCTACAGCTGTTCAGGTGTTTAGCCTACAGGACGCAATAAAATGCCCTGATCTGTCTGGCAGCAAACGATTATCCTATTCAGATATGGGGGAAGTGCTGTATAGCCTTTCCAACAAGTAAAGTACATATGTGGCTCAGCCATTGTTGAGTCCACCAAGCTTCACCAATCTTTTGATGAAATTCTTGTAATTATTACATGCTGGAATTAGTTCCCGGCAAGGGAGCCCAATTCTGGACTATGTCACCTGAGAACCACCCTGTCGCAATCTGGGACCCCTCGGGGATCTCAGAGAGCCAGTTTCAGCCCGATCCCTGCAGGCCAGGCCAAGGGACCCCACGGGTGCCCGAGTCCATGTACCATGCCTCTAGTCTGACTGTAAGAAAAACTGGTGGCATGAATTATACATTGTATGGAATCTACTACTTAAAACTCATACTATGTTTAACGGTAACCAAGAAATTTATGAATATAGCCAAATATTTAAAACCACCGAGGTAAGCCTTATTTATATCTTTGTAATATTCATTGTTGTTGCTAAACAGATTTCTTAGTTTAGTAATAGGTTTAATAGTGTTTTAGGAGGTAAGTTTTAGACATTAATCTGTTGTTTCTTTTTTTAGTTGACTATATTGTGGAGTATGACTATGATGCTGTACATGATGATGAATTAACTATTCGAGTTGGGGAGATCATCCGGAATGTGAAAAAACTACAGGAGGAAGGATGGCTAGAAGGAGAACTAAATGGGAGAAGAGGAATGTTTCCTGATAATTTTGTTAAGGTAAGTATTTTCAGTTAAAACATTTATCTGTTGCTTTATAGGATTTAACCATTAGCATTATATCTTAACTAGAGGCCTGGTGCATGAACTCATGCACTGATGGGGTCCCTGTACCCTCTTCATAATCCAGGACCCCTCAGGGGATGTTAGACTGCCAGTTTCAACCTGATTTCCCAGCAGTCCCAACATCCCCTGAGGAATGTAGTAGTGTGTCAAGTGGAAGGCAACTGGGGAGGAGCTGGAGCCCAGGCCAGGTGCTGTGCTGCTCCCGTTCATCCTGGCTCTGCTGTGCCCGTTGCTGCTGCTCAGTAAGCTTGCTCTTGTGTTGAGCCCCTTGGTGATCAGTGCACATCTTAGCGACCAGTTGATTAGTCGACAGGTTTGAACAATCGATATATAAAAGTTGCTTAGGCTTTATATATATATATATGTATAACCACAATGTTTTGGATAAATTTTTACTCTGCAGAATTTAGAAAACAAGTATCTCTATAATGGATGTCATTGTTTCTTAGTGTCCTTGTAGATAACAAGACTCTGTGTTTGTGGTTATCTGTATGTATCTGCCTGTCTGTCTTTTTAAATAAATAGTATTTTTATTTGGGTAGCACTTCATAATTTACAAAGAAGTGTTACCATGAAATTCTTTTTTTTTTTTTCTTCATTTTTTTATTAAGGTATTATATGTACATATCTTACCATTGCCCCTCCCCCCCACTCCCATACATGCCCTCCCTCTCCAGAGTTTTGCATCCATTGATTATGCTTATATGCATGCATACAAGTCCTTCGGTTGATCTCTTACCTCTTCCATATCTCCCTACCCTACCAGCTGTAATTTGACAGTCTGTTTGTTGCTTTACTGTCTCTGTATCTATCTTTTTGGTCATCAGTTTATAATGTTCTTTATTATCCATAAATGAGTGAGATAATGTGGTGGTTTTCTTTCATTGACTGGCTTATTTCACTCAGCATAATGTTCTCCAGTTCCATCCAGGTGGCTGCAAATAATAAGAATTCTTTAATATGGCAGCATAGAATTCCATTGTGTAGATGTACCATGGTTTTTTTATTCAGTCATCTGCTGATGGGCACCTAGGCTGTTTCCAAATCCTAGCAATTGTAAATTGTGCTGCTATGAACATAGGGGTGCATATATCCTTTTTGATTGGTGTTTCTATATTCCTAGGAGTGGGATTATTGGGTCAAATGGGAGTTCCAATTTCAGTTTTTTGAGGAATCTCCATACTGTTCTTGCACCAGCCTGCATTCCCACCAGCAGTGCACGAGGATTCATTTTTCTTCGCATCTTCACCATCACTTGTCGTTTGCTGATTTGTTGATGATAACCATTCTGACAGGTGTGAGATGGTACCACATTGTCGTTTCGATTTGCATCTCTCGGATAATTAGTGACTTTGACCATGTTTTTATGTGCCTCTTGGCCTTCCTTCTGTCTTCTTTTGAAAATATTCTATTTAGGTCCATTCCGCATTTTTTTTATTGGATCACTTATCTTCCTTTTATTAAGTTGTATAAGCTGTCTGTAGATGTTGGAGATTAAACTTTTATCTGTGATAACATTTGCAAATATGTTCTCCCATATAGTAGACTTTCTTGTTGTTTTGTTGATGGGTTCTTTTGCTGTAAAAAAGCTTTTTATTTTGATGTAGTCCCATTTGTTTATTTTCTCTTTAGCTTCCATTGCCCTAGGGGCAGTATCAGTGAAGAAGTTCTTTTGGCATATGACTGAGATTTTTCTGCCTGTGGATGCTTCTAGTATTTTTATGGTTTCCTGTCTTATGTTTAAGTCCTGTATCCATTTTGAGTTTATTTTTTGTGTATGGTGTAAGTTGGTGATCTATCATAGTTGTTTTGTTTTTTTTTTTGCATGTATTTGTCCAATTTTCCCAACACCATTTATTGAAAAGACTGTCTTGACTGCATTGTATGTTCATGCCTCCTTTGTCAAATATTAATTTAGTACAGAGGTTTGGGTCGATAACTGGATTCTCTGTTCTATTCCATTGATCTGTATGTCTGTTCTTGTGCCAGTACCAGGATGTTTTGAGAACAGTGGTTTTGTAATACAGCTTGAAATCTGGTATTGTGATCCCTCCTACTTTATTCTTCTTTCTCAGGATTGCTGTGGCTTTTTGGGGTCTTTTTTTTTTGTTCCAGATGAATTTTTGAGAGTTCTTTCTAGGTCTGTGAAGTATGCTGTTGGTATTTTAATGGGGAGTGCATTGAACCTATAAATTGCTTTGGGAAGTATGGCCATTTTGATGATGTTGATTCTACCAATCCATGAACATGGTATGTTCTTCCATCTGTTTACGTCTTTCTCTATCTCTTTTTTCAATGTCATGTAGTTTTCTGTGTATAGGTCTTTTACCTCCTTAGTTAAGTTTATTCCTAGGTATCTTAATTTTTTTGGTGTCATGGTAAATTTGATTGCTCTTTTAGTCTCTGTTTCTGTAAGTTCACTATTGATGTATAGAAATGCCATAGATTTCTTGGCGTTAATTTTGTATCCTGCTACATTGCCAAATTCATTTATTAAGTTTATTAGTTTTTTGATGGAGTCTTTTGGTTTTTTATGTACAATGTCATGTCATCTGCAAATAAGGACAATTTTACTTCTTCTTTTCCAATTTGGATGCCTTTTATTTCTTCTTCTTGTCTAATTGCAATGGCTAGTACTTCCAGTACTATGTCAAATAGGAGTGGTGAGAATGGGCATCCCTGTCTTGTTTCTGTTCCTAGAGGGAATGGTTTTAGTTTTTGCCCATTGAGTATGATGTTGGCTGTGGGTTTATCATATATAACTTTTATTATGTTGAGGTATGATCCTTCTATTCCCACGTTGTTGAGAGTTTTTATCAGGAAAGGGTGTTGGATTTTATCAAATGCTATTTCTGTATCAATTGATATGACTATATGATACATTAAATTCTTATTTGAGCCTTCAAAAGTCTTGTGAAATAAGTGGGATATAATAAAGAGGAAATATGCAAATTAACCCTCATGCTCTCATAAGATGACTGCCTAGGACCAGGCCAGCAGGGGGGTTATTGAGGGACAACCAAACAACTGAATAAGCAGGCTGCCTGGGGTGACCAAGATGAGGGGGGTTAGTGAGGGATGACTAAAGGACTGAACAGCAAGTTGTGTGGGGCAACCAGGCTGGTGAATGGGCTGTGGGGGGCGATCAGGCTAGCAGGGGGGGTGCAGTTAGGGACAACCAGGCCAGCATGCAGAGGCAGTGAGGGGCAATCAGGCTGGTGGGGAGTTGGGGGGGAAGTTAGGGGGAACCAGGCAGGCAGACAGGCAGGCAGGTGAGTGATTAGGAGCCAGCGGTCCAGGATTGTGAGAGGGATGTCCACAAACATCTCCCGAAGGGCCGGGGAGATCCAGGATTGGAGAGCAGATTTCCCTCTACTCCGTGCACGAATTTCATGCACCAGGCCACTAGTTTTTCATAACAAGACACTGGCTGGGCCGCAGAAATATTTGTTGCGGACTGCAAGTTTGACATGGTTGCTAGTCTAGAGCATTCATTTCTTCATATGTAAGAGTGGGATATTCCACCTGTTTGGGTTATTGGTAGGAATTTGATTATGTGTCTTGCATGTAGATATATGATGGAATTTATTATTTCATCCATTTTGGAAAGGGGAAATGGGAGAAGAAAATCAGCTTGTTAATTTAGTCAACATATATGTAGTTTTTTTGTGCTTTGTGTTTTCATTTGTTCGTTTGTTTTTTGTTTGTTTTGTGTGCCTGTAATAGTTCAGGTACTATTAAATGTTAATAATAAAAGAAGGTGAATAAGATAGAACTTTACTAATTGCCCTTTAGAAAAAGTGAATAGTTTAAAGGAAGGACAAAAATAAAGAAGAAAATAATTAAAATGAAAAAATATGGAAGAAGCAGTTAGCCAGGTTAGCCTATGTACCAAGGGCCTTGGTCAGCAAACTTCGGCTCACAAGCCACATGTGGCTCTTTGGATTTTTGAGTGTGGCTCTTCCACAAAATTCCACAGCCTACGTGAGTCTGATTTGAAGAAGTTGCGTTAGAAGAAGTTTAAGTTTAAAAAATTTGGCTCTCGCCGAAACCTGTTTGGCTCAGTAGACAGAGCATCAGCCTGTGGTCTGAAAGGTTCCAGGTTTGATTCCGGTCAAGGGCATGTACCTTGGTTGCGGGCACATCCCCAGTAGGGGGTGTGCAAGAGGCAGCTGATCAATGATTCTCTCTCATCGATGTTTCTAATTCTCTATCCCTTTCTCTTCCTCTCTGTAAAAAATCAATAAAATATATTTAAAATAATAAAAAAAATAATTTAAAAAATTAAAAATTTGGCTCTCAAAAGAAATTTCAATCGTACTGTTGATATTTGGCTCTGTTGACTAATGAGCTTGCTGACCTCTGGCCTAGGGAAATCATCTTGTCTCATTGGTGGTAGTAGTGATAGAACAGTTTAAGTTTATTTAAAAGTGGACCAAGTGGCCAGAACCGGTTTGGCTCAGTGGATAGAGCGTCGGTCTGTGGACTGAAAGGTCCCAGGTTCGATTCCGGTCAAGGACATGTACATTGGTTGCGGGCACATCCCCAGTGGGGGGTGTGCAGGAGGCAGCTGGTCGATGATTCTCTGTCATCGACGTTTCTAACTCTCTATTCCTCTCCCTTACTCTCTGTAAAAAATCAAAATATATATTTTTTTAAAAAGTGGACCAACTGGATGAAAAATTAGACACTAAAAAAAGCTTTTTGGTGTGTTAGGATTTGGGTAAGCTCTAGTTCCTTAGGATAATAATAATTGTGACAGGTTTTTTTGTGTGTAAGTTAGTCTTACATTTATAGAAAAATTACCTGGTGGAAATTATCTTTTGTTGTTGTTATTGAGCCCTTTGGGGGCGGGGGTCGTTCTTTGAAGATGAGGGGGCTAAGATAAAATGCCTTAGAAGGTTGCCTCAGTTATAAAACGAGAAAGCAGACAT